GTTGTTTTAATTGCCATTTTAGATCCTGTTTGAATTGTATTTATATGTTATTGTTTTATGTTTAATGGTTTAATGCTTAATGTATTCATAATTTATTATGTTTATGTTTTGATGTGGCATTGAATTTGCCAAGCTGTAAGCCGCTCTGAGCCCCCACTTGGGGTGAGATAGGGTGGGATAGAAATATGGTAAATGAATGAATGAATAAATAAACAAATAAAGTAATGGATCTTGTTAACAGCTTGTTTATTTTAACTTATGTTATACTGTATGTGTTTGTCAAATGTTTTTGATACAGCCAATAGGCTAATCAATAAAATGTACTACTATTCCTAATGGACTGATATTAGTAGAACAATATCAGAAGTAGACAAACATCAGTTCCCATGCATTAATATTATGTATATTAAATGACATTAGAGAGAGACTTTAGAAAGGATATAAAGTTGCAAAGATGTATTCATACTGCACATTTATATCAATCTGATGTCATTGTAACTGTCATGGCTCCATCCAGTGTAAACCTGAGATTTATAGCTTGAAGAGGTTCTTACATTAAGATCTCCCCTGCACTATTGCTTTCCAGGGGAGAAATCTTCAAACTACAAAACTTAGAATACCCTAAAACTGAGCCATGGCAGTTAACAAGTGAATCAAATTACATTCAAAATGTAGTTCAGATGTATCTAGTAGTCATGGGCCTGGTTATCATTTCATCCTTTTATTTCATGTTTTCGTTCTGTTTATTTCATTTGGATGGCACAAAATGATTCAATCTCCCATGGTACAAAAATAATAATGAAACGTAAAGAAGTTTGAAAAATGGCACTAAATGATAAGCTAACATCAAACTTAAAAGAGAAGAAGGGATTATGAAAAAAAAAGACTTCGAAAGTATTTGGAGAAAAATTATAGAAAAAGTATTAGGAAAAGAAGATGGGAATTTACCTCCAAATGAAGAATTGAACTTTTGGTGGGACTTTAGAAGTAGAGATGGCTCTTGAGAAGGGAAGCACAGGGGTGAATGTAAATAAAAGAGGGGGAAATGTATAGTATGTGTCTATATAACTGTAATTTTTCTAAAATAAAAAAAATTAAGAAAAAATAATAGCGAAACAAAAAGGAAAGTAGCAATGGTAACCATGTGGTCGCCTGCTTTACGGGCCACGTGGCACAGCCCAGGGAGTATTTCTGCATTGCTTTACCTTTGAGCCCAGTTGGGCCAATCAGAGGAGAAGAACACAGTGACATGGGCACGCATTGCTCGGGGTATTTATTGGGGCAACTGCCCCCAAAGCGCTCATTGTGTGCCGTGCATCTGTTGGTGCTGGAGTTCCCTCCTGTGCCTGTTTGCCTTGCTGCTAGTCAGCCACTGATTTTTGCCTTAGCTTGGGCTGTTTTTATTTGGCTGCTAGCATCTTTTTGGTTTCTTTGTTTTTGTTTTATTCTTATTTTTATTTAAAAGGACTGGGAGTTTTGAACGGGAGGGGGTGGGTTGCGCCTGGTGTTGCTTTTTGGTGGCTTTGGGGGATAAGGGCATCGCTTTTCTCGCTACTCAGATTATTTCTTTTCTCCTCTTCTCTTTACTTTTAAAATATTTTAAAATTTTTGAGTGGCTTATAGAGCCTTAGTCAGGGTCACCCTATTTTTTTCTTTTCCCTTCCTCTCATATCCCTAAAGTAATTGTTGGCCTTCAGTAGAATAATTTTTCCACTTTTGGAAACCACTATCTCTCTATCAAACCTTCAACCCCTCTCTATCTCTGTACCTGGCCTGCCTTGTTCTGCCCTCTAAATCACCACATTTCCAAGAATAGTTAAATCACATCTATAACACTTTAAAAAAACAGCCATAGGGTTGGGAAAAGGTGTCAAAGGAGTTTGACCATGCATGGTCCAACTTCTGATGTCACACAACACAGACCTTGGACCTTCTGTAGGCCCTCACCAACAATCACTTGGAAAAACCTCTGCTAGAGAAGTTAGAGGGCAGTGCCAGTAGGGGAAAGAGGGAATGTTTTAAAGAAGATTTCTTTTCTAAAAAGAAAAAAATTGCAAAAAAATCAAGGGGTAACCCAAAACTTTTAAATGTTGGTGGACTAAAAATTGTAGATATGCCATCCATGTGTGGTGATTTTCACCACTATAGCCCTAAAACTGAGGGTAGAGGGAGCCTGGGAAGCCCTCCCATTGCTGTCAATAGTCTGAAAAATTTCATTCTTTTGGATGCGGAACGAAAATGCCCATTCAGAAAGATGCCCATTTTAGGAAGTGGTGCTTGAAAATGAAAACAGGGCCATATGAATGAAACAAACAGAAATGGATAGCGATTCTATACCAATGCACAGTACTAGTATCTAGTATAATGTCAAATACTTGCCCCAGATAAAAATGTAGGGGAAATATTTTAATTTGCTGTATTTCCAGACTCTTCACTGTGGCAAATGCAATGGCTAGATCAACAAAAAAATGGGAGAATGGGATGGACAAGCAGGAAAAGGAAGCCTTTATAAAACAGTGTACATTCATGAAGGGAGTTTCAGTATTTGTATATGTGAGAGAGAACGTGGGAGTGCATGGACAGATGAAGTTGAGAGACTAAAAGAAGGAATGGTGGACATGGCTGTAAAAACAAAGAATTGATGGGAGTTGTTTCAGAAAAGAAAGAAATAGAAAGGAAAAACAGGAGAGAAAAACCAAACAGGTATATGGAGAGCCGATGATCATGACATGCAGTTGAACACCTTTAGGTACTAAAAGTAAGACGAAAACAGTTTAAGTGGGTGGAAGAAACAGGGTGCTAGAAATGGGCAGTGATGGTAACACCACAAATATTACCAAAACTATAGGAGAGGAGGAAAACTGTCAATTAAGTTCATAAAAATTGGAAAGGGGTGTGTTCAAAGGCGGCATAAAAAGCAAAGCAAGTTCTATAAAATTAAAGATCATTTTGTAATTAATACAGAGAATTGTTGAAAAAATACTGAGTCTGTATGTAAGATTCTAATTTTCAACAGCAACTCAATAAGTCATGAAACATTATTTTCCAAGGTTAATTCCATCCAAAAGTGATGACACAGTATCACTTTATTTGCATAAGTGTATTAAAAAAGGAAACCTTCAATATTTGTTGATTATTCTTCAGTTATCGATAAAATAAAAGGACACAAATTGAAACAATGCCTCTTTTCTTAATTCTCATATAATCACTGTTAGGGGTAGTTTTATATTTTTCAGAAAAGGTTTTTGTTTTCTGTGTTCTTCCTTTACATGTGAATTTATTTTTAACTTAATTCATTCATTTTTTTTTCTGGGGTGGGAAGGTGAGATATGGGCTTTCCCAAAGTACATGCAGTTGACCTCTTTTCTTTCACCACCAAAACATAGATGAGAGTTTCACCTTCATTGGGGTAGGTTTTTTGGGCAATGATATGGTATAAATTAAGATTACAGGTTAATGAAAAGAAATCCCTCCTTTTCATCATTTGTTGTTGTTTATTCATTATAGATATCATTAATATATGCAGCCTGCTACTAACTTTCTCTTACCTGTGTTTAGGGTTATAACATGAAATGAGGACAATAGTTTTGAGTAACTTCTGTGTAAGATTGAGCCATTATCTAGTAAATTGTTTAAATATGATCAGTAAAATAATTGTGGATTTTATCATATATGCATGACAATCGCTGGATTCTGTAACTCTAGCTGGATCTACACTTCCCTATATCCCAGGATATGATACAGATTATCTAGCAGTGTAGACATACAGTATATAGTATATAATCGAGTTCAAGGCAGTTAATCCGGTATCAGGTCCTGGGATATGGTGGAGTGTAGATCCAGCCACTAACTTCGGTTTTTGCTATTTTTTCTTTGTTGTCATATCCTCAAACATGATTAAAATCTAATCGTTAGTCCCAACTAGACTAGGCACAATAATTCAGTGGAGATGTTGTCCATCAACACGAACACTCATAAGTTCCATTGATTCAAAGAGTATGTTCTAGTTGATAAAAACAACTGGAATTTAGGCTTAGATGTATAATTTGTAAGCAGGTGGAACAGTTAGTATAACACAGAACATGGCTTTCCTTGTTTCTGACATTCTTCAGTCTATGCTTTTTGAACACATTGGTTTTTGCTTGTACAAGATCCCCTTATCTATTAATTGAACAATTTCCCTCTTTTCCAGAAATATTTTCCCAGCGCATCCAGAAATACATGCACACAAACACTTTGGTTACATTGTAGTGGATATTTTGAAATGTTGTGTACACTTTTGGCTCTCACATTCCTGAAATTACTTTTAGCTAGATGAGTATTATGAACATTGCTGGGTTTTAATAGATGTTTCCATCCTGTTTTCATGTTTTGTCATAAAGACTTTCATTGCATTACAAGAAAAGTGGGATATAAACGGTCTTCTAAAGCCAAGAATGATGAACTTTATTGTCTAAAGTTAGATGCAGGTATGATGCTTTTTATGCAGCTGCCTTGGATCCCATACCAGATGAGTGGATTGACAGTGGAGTAAAAGCCACCCTTGGCTTAGTAAAACAGAATCACAAAATGACACCATAGTACCAAAGGGGTGTCAGCTCATGTAATTAGGTCTTGATGTCTTACTACACATAGAATCATAGATACATGTAGCATGATTGTCAAACTATGGCCAGATGCACAAGAAGCGTAAAACAATGGAAGTTTGGTCAATTATTTATTTACTGCATTTGTTGACTGCCGTTCTTAGCCCTAGGACGACTCACGGCGGTGTACAACATATAAAAACAGTTTACAATAGGCAATATCACAACAAAGTCAACATAACTATCAATAATACAATTACACTAAATCATCCGCGCCGTCAATACTTGTTTATTTCATTGTTCCATTGATTTCATTGGTTCTTGGCCCTAGCTAAAGTTATATAAGATTTCAGTATAGGAATATGTCAAATAAATAGCATGTTAAAATAAGGACTGGCATTTCCTGTTTCTTACCTCCGATGGTAGGAGAGTTACGGGCACTCTCTCGTCTTCATGCATCCGTCTGGATGCCTTCTCCCAATACAGGTAGTCAACCAGCGATCTGTGATCAAAATTTCCTGTTGGAGGTTTCTCAGTCTGATCTTTCTGTATCATCCCGACTGGCACTTCGGGGTCTGGAGCCATGACTTCCATTTCACTTTGTAGTTCCTTCAGTTCTTCCGGAGACAGGTTTGCTAGAATTTCATCTTCATCAATCTCCTCGGAACAAATTTCCTCTTGGTCAGAGTTTTGGCTGAACTCAGACATCTTTCTGGCTGATCACAACTCCAAAAAAGCAACCCCTTAAAGAAAAGTTAAAAACAACAGCCAGAGCTATGAATAGTAAAGTAGTTGTTCTACAATCCAATGAAAACCCTCTATTTTCCTATCTGGCTTTTGTCAGAAATGATAGGACAACTTGATCTTAGAAGACTCTTGTGGACGAGTGAGTGGGGACTGGAGCATATGGTAAATCTATATTAAGCTTTGCTTGGCTGGAGGAAGAGAATTTATGGAGGTGCTGCCATGTTCTGTTTTGAGCAACTTGTGTCAGCTGTGTAAGCCCTCCTGACATTTCAGTACAGCTGCTGTGTAGCTCTGCAGCATCTTCGCTGTATTTTTCTAGAGGATCCCCCTTGGAGAATGAGTTTTCATGGCTCATGAAAAAAAGGTAATATTTAAATTTAGGGAAATGAATGCCACTCCTGGCGGTCACTGTTTGAATTCCACACTCTTTATTCAATTCAAGCTTAAGTAGCACTTGGGCTTCAGTCCAGCGATTTTCACTTTCTGCCTGACAAATCTTTTGGGAAGTGATTGATTTATGAGGACCAGCTTAAATGACATTGGCAAATATCACAGTTATTTATTGTCCCTAGCATTAAGAAATACTCTCTGAGCCACACACTAAAGAGTCACTGGCATTCTGGGTAAACAAAGCAAGGGACTGGAACAACAGTTGAGACAGCATCAGGTAGTTATTTTTAAAGACAAAATAGTAAGTGGGAACAAATTTGAAAATGCTGGAGTTGTTAACACACATCTTTGGAGCATAACTAATAAATTGTTCATTTGTGTTATCTGATTAATCATTGGCACATACAATTACGCACAGTTGCAAAACTGGCTTTTGCTTTAACATGGAAGTATTGAGTATTCCTTATCCAAAATATCAGAGGTGTTTTGGGTTTTGGAATACCTGTACTAGGAAGTATAGAGTCTCGCCTATCCAACACGAAGAGGCCAGCAGAACATTGGATAAGCAAAAATGTTGGATAATAAGGAGGGATTAAGGAAAAGCCTATTAAACATCAAATTACGTTATGATTTCACAAATTAAGCACCAAAACATTATGTTTTACAGAAAATTGACAGAAAAAGCAGTTCAATACACAGTAACGTTATGTAGTCATGACTATATTTACGAATTTAGCACCAAAACATCGCAATGTATTGAAACAACTGTGGATCGGGCGGAAGGCAGACAGTGTTGGATAATCCAGAATGTTGGATAAGTGAAGGATGGATAAGCAACAGTGTACTGTATGTATATAATGAAATGGGAACCAAGTCTAAACATGAAATACATTTATGTTTCATATATTCATTATACATATAGTCTGAAGGAAAATATATAAAATATTTCAATAATTTTGTGCAGAATGTAGACAGGAAGATCAGAAACCAAAGGTTTCAGGCCCCTACATGGACAATTTTGGATTTCAAAATTTCAGATGCTCAACCTGTAATGTCTTAAATCCAGTGGTATAGAAAATTATAGACTTGGTGTGCAAATGCAAGGAGCTTCTAATACTTCCCGTTCCTTTAAACATTACAGTTGACACAATGAAAAAGTACACTAGAGAAGTTGGTGGAGAAAAACAATATCATTTAGATTAGGCTCAAATCTTCTCATTTTTGAATGGACACAGTTAAAAGACATATTGAACATGCAAAGCTGACAATAAAACATCTTTCCAGAAAACATGAGGATAATACAGCTCTTAATTTCTAGAAAAAGGGATACCAAAACCCAACTTTATATTTATTTATTTACAGCATTTTTACCTCGCCCTTCTCAACCCCTGGTATGTAAGCAGACTTGGAATTATGACTTGGAATTGTTTCTGCCAGCTCCTTGATGATGTGCGAAAGACTCAAGGGCTTTCCAAACATTTGAAATTCTGTCATGCCAACAAATGGAGAAGACAGGCAACTTGACACCAGCTGTCCTCAACCCTCATGTTGTTGTCCACACATTGATAGACTATATATGCACAGCTAATCAACATGTGAAAAACAAGGACACAGACAGTGGACTCAATTCTGCTCTCCTTCCATCTATCAGTTATAATCTACCCATGTTGAAAACGGTTTCCTTCCGAGCATGGATGGGGGAAAGACACTCCTGATTTATTCAAGTCCATTTCCAACTCTTTAAAAATATGTTCCAGATCTGGAATCACATACCAGTCTTGAACATACATTTTGTGATTGGGAAAGGCAAACCTGAATCTTGCTTGGCTATTGCATAGCACATAAAATATAATTTCTCATGAGAATAATGCAATTGTCCATTTATGGTGATGAAAAGTGAATACAGCTGTATATTCTGCCTACATTTCCAGTCTTCAAAGGTATAATTGTGCTTCTTCTGTGCACAATTAACATTATACAGGTTGAGTATCCCTTAGAATCATAGAGGTTGAAGCAACCACAAAGGCCATGTAGGAATGCACAATCAAAATACTTCCAAAGATGGTCAACCAGAAGGGTTCTATTTTTCATATGTATCTTATACACCTTATACCGTATGTTTTAAATAATCTTGTGCATAAACCAAAGTTTGTGTACATCAAACCATCAGAAAACAAGGGGCACTATCTCAGCCATCCATGTAGATAACTTTGGATTTTTGGAGCATTTCGGATTTCAGATTTCTGAATTAGATATACTTAGCCCCAAAGCAGGATGACAAAGCAGGATGACAAAGCCCCAAAGCAGGATGATAAAGATCTCTCCTCCTTGTAGCAGCTTTCCACACAGTTCTTAACACCTGACTAGTTTCCTGATTTGTGTAGAGAGGAAATTGGATCTAGATCCTAAGGTAGGGAAAGAAAAGTTGAGGAGAGAGGAATTGTATTTTTCCTATCAGCACTAACATGCTGAAGAAAAATAGTGGCTGGCCAATGAAGAGATGAGTTTAAGAACTTCATCACATTGGTGATTTTCAGCACCCCATGATGCTTGCAGCAAGCTGAGAGGACAGAACCTGCTGGATGCCATCTGATGATGCACAGCAACTTCTGGCGGGGCTCTGTCCTTCTAGCGTGCTGCAAGCATCCTAGCAGGCCCGTAGCCAGGATTTCGTTTGGGGGGGGGGGCTGAATTTTTTTCAGGGGGGGTTTGGGGGGGCTGAGTTTTGGGGGGGGGCTGAGTCTGAGTGAAAGAGGGTCTAGCCTAGCAAACCTTTTGTATCATTACCCCAATACCCCCATGCATATGGGATATATTGAGTATGGTGATCAGATCATGATATGAATAAACATAACAGTTTAAATAATGTACCAGGAAGGCCTTCTCGTGGACCACCATGAATTTCAGGGGTGGGGCTGAAGCCCCCCGAGCCCCCCCCCCCGGCTACATGCCTGCATCCTAGGACACTAAAAAGAGAAGTGCAGGGCTAGTGTGGGGGAAGCCGGGCAGTGACACTTCCTCCTGTGGAATGAGTAAGTGGACTATGAGGATTATGCAGGGTGACACTGTGCATGACATATCCCCCCCCCCCCCGCTCCCACTATCACCTATAAATTGGACCTCAATGTGATGTGATCCTAAGATGAAATTAGAGTTCCCCTGATGCTTGCAAACTCATCAGGGGCACAACATGACCAAACTAGATATTATCTTTGCATAAATGGAAGCATTAAAAAAATAGCAGCCTCGGTCCTCATAAAAAAGACCAGGAACATTGAGCATTTAAGTGGCTTTAAATTTTCTTCTTTCACTGATTAAAAACCTTCCCAGTTCTGAAGCTGCTATTATTTACATTGGAAGGAAGGCTACATTTACAACTGCTGAAACACTCCAGAGTAATTTGGTCTGGAGCTGCCCCAGATACAGCTTCAGAATGCCTTAAAGTCATTTTGGAGTTCAAACAGCTGACCGATAATGCATTGGAGTTGCCACTGTCACCACTGTTTCACCGAACAAAAGCAGATCCTGCACAGAGCCATTCTGGTGACATTGCATTTGGTGAAGTCCCAACAGGGCACCCAACCATGTGAAGAACAGAAACAGCACCATCAGCTAGGCTTTGCTAAGTAGCTGCTTTGAGCTGGTGACACAGCAGTGTGCCTTTTTGACAGATGGATGCTGGTTGCCCTGGATCCAGCCCAATCTGATTATCCATACCTCAAAAAACATGGAGTCACTCCAGAGTTTCCTGAAAGTTCTGGAGTAACTTGCATACTCCTTGTGCCAGGACACTGGATGGAAGTAGCAGTTCTATGACTATATAGTGGACTGCTCACAGTAGTTGCAAGTTGAACTTTTTAAATTTGGCCCATATAGATATGGCCTTGGATGGTGTAAAAATCATGTGGCCCTCCAGAAATTGTTGGGTTACAAGTCCCTTGCCAGCCTACCCAGTCGTGAGCAAAGTTGAAGAGTTGCAGTCCATCAAAATATGGATGGCAGCATAATTCATGTCCCTGATCTAGAACTTTGAAAGAGCAAAAGTGACCATGTGATTCATAAACTGTGATAATTAAGAATCTAGCAAGACAGGCCTGATGTGTCCATATGAGGAACATAAGGCTCTTGATACTAATTGCCTCCCACCTTTCCAGAAATGGCTAACAGAGTAACAAAAAAAATCTAAGAACTGTAGGAAAAATGGAAGGTGGCCTGCCCTTCTTCTTCAACTGTAGACAAATTGTCATAGAAAAACATTTTATTTACAGTTGCGCTCCTCTAGAGAGTGAGAGGGAATATCTATCTGTCTGTCTATCTGTCTACTAGGCTTGGTTGATAAAAGATGGTTCAAAACTCGTTTCTGACATAGGGGGTGCTGGTGGTTCGATTCTAAAGGCACTCCGATTAAAAAAAAAACTTTCAGAAACTTCTGAAACTTCCGAATCGATTTGTAAATGGCAGACACGTATGTGCAGTAGGGAAAAAAAAAACCAGCACTGGCACTGGGGAAACTTCAGGGGATTCTCCCTCCCTCATTTTTAAACCAATCCCAATGAAACTTGCCACAGTGGTAAAACACATGGGCCACTGTTAGCTCACCAAATTTCATAACCTTGGCATTTTGGAGAATTTTCAAAGGTTTTATAAAAAACTTTTTTTAATAATAAAGAAATTCTGTTCCTGGTTTGAAAGTATTATTTCCTGTTTCACTGGGTGGTCTTTACTTTGAAAGTAGTTGTTCTACTCCAGTTTGTGTGGCACAAACTGTGTTAAATTGATGGAGAACAGAAATCGTAGTAGAGACCCCATCAAGGGACATC